GCAAATCTACAACAGATGGAGTATTAAGTATAGTAGATGAAATAACCCAAAATATAGATGGAAAAGTACCATCGATATGGGTATTTGTGGACTTACAAAAAGCGTTTGACACAGTTAACCACAATATACTTTTGGAAATTTTAGAAAGAATAGGTTTTCGTGGAAAGATGTATACTTTAATGGAAAATTATTTATCAAATAGACCGCAATCAGTAAAATTATTAAGCTCGTATAGTAAAGAAATGTTTGTTAAATGTGGTGTTCCACAAGGTACAATTTTGGGTCCTCTGTTATTCAATATTTATTTAAACGATATATTCAAAATTAACAGTACTGGTAAAATAGTCAGTTTTGCAGACGATACTGCTATACTCTATAAAGGTAAGGATTGGAACGACTTAAAAGAAATTATCCAAAATGACTTTTGCAAAATTATTCAGTGGTTTAATAACCGAAAATTAACAATTAACTTTACTAAAACTCATTTTTTACCATTTTCATCACTATCTAATCATCTACCAAAATATAACCACCTTCGGTTTAAGGTAAATGATAAAAATATAAAAATCAATAGAGTTAATGATACAAAATATTTAGGAATTTATCTAGATCCCCACTTGAGATGGGATGTACATATTTCTCACATACTAAAGAAAATTAGATTCATAGCATATAAAATAAAATTTCTAACCGGTATATTAACTGAATATTATCTACGAATAATATATCAAGCTTTAGTCGAGCCGCACATAACATATGGTATAGTAGTGTGGGGTGCTGCATGCACGACATACTTTAACGATCTAGATGTACTTCAAAGAAGAATTTTAAAATCAATGTTAGGCAAATCAAAATTATACCCAACTAATGACTTATATAATGATGCACAAGTATATGATACTAAACAACTTTACTTCTTACATACCATCACTCATTATCACAAAACTATTAGTGAACACGACATAACTAAACACAATCATAAAACCAGATATAAATTACGCGCAAAAAATGTTCCTAAACCAAACAAATCCCTAATGAAACGATGTCACCTGTATATAGCTCCAAAATTGTACGAACATTTACCAAATAATTTAAAACAATTACGCAATACATTAGGCTTCAAAAAAAAATTAAAAAAATTTATTAACACGATTGGGAGAAATCAAATTAATAAAATAATCTCAAATATTACACAATAAATGCTCTACCATTCTTACCAATAATTTCTTTTTTCTCTCTATTTTATTATATTTTGCAATACAACATACATATGATCCATGCACAGGCGTTGTTCTCCTATGGATATATTATATTTATTTACTCGTTTCATGTTCCCTGTATTTTAGAGTAAATAAATATTATTATTATTATTATTATTATTATTATTATTATAGCCCCAACAAAATTCGTGATTTTTTATTTTTATTGATTGTGAACTTATATACGGTATCAAGTTGAACCAACTACTTGTCTGTTTGTCCAGAAAGAGGTTATATAATATATCACCATTCACTAGAAGCAATTCTTTGTTTTAAATCCTGAAAGTAAGGAAATAGATACCTGAGATTGAAAAAGGACACTTGGTCATGCGTACAAAAATTGAACTTTCATTTATATAATAAAGCAATACTGCACTCACCCACACGCATGTACATAAATAAATTCGACGCGCTTTAAACACACTAGGATATTTCCAAATACTTCAACAGGAGGCTCCACTTCCTATTTAAATTCGCAGTACATTTCCTATCATGTGACAATTTTTTTAGTTTGATTTTATTCAAAAATGGCACAATTTATCGATATTCAATAAGAGTACCTTTTTTATGTACAAAACCCTAAATTTTCAAATTCGTAAATTAAATTTCAAAAATAGAATCACACAAAAATTTTAGGGCTAAATAACCTGAGTCCGTCCCTGTTACGTACGCTTCTAAACAAAACAGTCTAAAGTTGTTAATATTTTTAAATCCAGCATAAAAAACTAGGCCAGAATACCAAATTTTATGTCTTTATCTCAACAAGTTTCGGAAATATTAAGCAAAAACCATCTTCAGGGGCGCCCCTTTAAAAGACCGTAGCGACCTTAGGGGACGTTTATCGACCTATGTTTATATAAACTTTTCTTACTATTTTAAGCTCTAGAAACCGCTGGTAGAATATTGCACACTTTTTTCGGGACACCCTGTATACTCGTACATTATTCAATGTAAAAGAAAATCACATCAAGATTACGTCAACCACATATTTGTTATAAATGCCCTTCATTGACTTAAAAAATGCTACATAAATAAAGTTAAAGTTCTTCTCATTACGTCACGTCAGCAATGACTCCCCTGTGTATACACAATGTTTCATTTTTGGCGAAAGATATTCTAACCATGATTACGGATCACTTATGTTCCAATATTTCACTTGATCACTATAATTGATCCACTTCACAGCGAATTGAAGAACAACAGTAACATTCGAATATGAAGCTCCTCCCGAAAATCACAAACGAAACTGAGGTGTTCGAAGCGCGTTACCGACACTTCGTCTGTCGCATACTCCCGATCATTCCCGAATGAATGGACGAGTCCGCGATTCAAACAGTTTAAGTGTTTTTATTAAAACCTTTAATTGTTTGTAATGTAATTTTCCTACATAAACTAAATTACCTAAACTATTTAAACAATAAAAATAAATTTATAGAGCTTGTAAGGCAAACCAAACGAAAACATTACCTAAATAAATTGAATAATAACTTAAATGATCCTAAGCGGCTTTGGACAACTATTGATGAGATTACTGGGAAAACAAAAGTTAAAGAGTGTGTCACTGAGTTAAATTCAACATCGGGAACAGTATTAAAAAATACTCAATAGATATGCGATGAATTTGTACAATTCTTTACTGACATAGGCGAAAATTTAGCAAGTAATATACAAGCAAATGTACAAAATACTCAGCCTCCAAAAAGAACTTTGAACTCATTTATTTTGGATAATGTCGAGCAATGTGAAGTATACACCACTGTTATGTCCTTAAAAAATCGGAAAAGTCCTGGGTTCGATGGTATTAAAAGCGAGGATTTGAAAATTATAGCCGAGGACATAACAGAACCACTCACTTACCTAATCAACAAATGCTTTGAATCTGGCATATATCCCTCAATTTTAAAAAAAGGTAATATAATACCGATACATAAATCAGGAACAAAAACAGATGTTAACAACTATAGACCAATATCAATAATCTCCAGTGTAGCAAAGGTTTTTGAAAAAGTTTTATCTACTAGAATGATTCGATACCTCACAAAATTCAAAATTTTAAGTGAAAATCAATATGGATTTACAGAAGGGAAGGCTACATCGGACGCAATAACTAAAATTGTAAATCAAATACATCAAAATATTGATAACAGAATCCCTTCAATCTGCATTTTTGTTGATTTAAAGAAAGCTTTCGACACAGTTAATCACAAATTATTATTAGAAGCATTGGAGAGAATTGGTTTCAGAGGAAACGCGTACTCACTGATCGAAAGTTATTTGTCAAATCGCCCACAATCTGTGCAGATATCAGGATCATTTAGTAAAGAAATGTATATTAAGTGTGGTGTCCCACAAGGAACTGTCTTAGGTCCGCTGTTATTCAATATATATTTAAATGATATTTTCCAAATTAATTGTGTTGGCAAAATAACTAGTTTTGCAGATGATACTGCAATATTATAGGGAAGGCACTGACTGGTCTGATCTGAAAAATGTAATTGAAAATGATTTTATCAAAATTATTCAGTGGTTTAACAGTAGAAAATTAAGCATTAACTACTCTAAAACACATTTTTTACCATTTGGATCTTATGCTAGACATCTGCCAAATTACACAAATTTCTCCTTCAATATTAATGATCAAAAAATGCAAATTAATAGAGTGCCCAACATAAAATACCTTGGAGTGGTCTTGGATCCTCACTTACGATGGGACATCCATGTCAATTATATTTTAAAGAAAGTTAGATTTGTATCCTACAAAATTAAATACCTTGGGAATATATTGACAGAAAAATATCTTCGAACATTATACCATGCACTGATTGAGCCTCATCTCACATATAGTATATTAGCATGGGGAGCTGCATGTTCCTCACATATCTATAATTTAGATGTTTTTCAAAAAAGTATTCTAAAAATGATATTTAAAAAACCGAAACTTTATCCCACTGAAAAATTATGCGCAGATGTTCGAATGTATGATATAAGACAGCTTTATTTCTTACACAGTATCACTCACTACCATAAATTTGTAAACACCGACCAAAAAAATAAACATAATCATTATACCAGGTACAAAATTCGTGGCACAGTAATTCCTCAACCGCATAAATCTATAATGCAGCGATCATATCTCTATTTAGCGCCTAAATTTTATGAAATTATACCTAAAGACTTAAAAGATTTACGTTTCGGAAATTGTTTCAAAAGAAATTTAAAAAAGTGTCTACATTCTATATCTAGGACTGAAATTCATAAACTCATAAATACGAACATCAACTAAATACATAATCTACTGTAGCTAATTTTTGTCCTTTTTTGTCATTTGCATTCTACAGTTTCAACTTAAATTATTGGTCCATGTACAGGCGATGCCTTCTATTGGGCCTGTTTTGATTTTATATTTATTTACTCATATTGTTTGTTATCTTTGTACATTGAGTGAATAAATATTATTATTATTATTATTATTATCATTATTAATTTAATAAAACAGGTACATAGCTGGCCTTTTTGAAGCAAACTAGTTTAATAGTACGTTACTGTCAATTACACTGGTTCCAGAAAATTCCGTTTAATTGAATTTAGACACTTGGAGTAATTAAAAAACTTATTACTTCTCAGAGCAACTGTTCAATTCTCCACGTTTTGTCAGTGTGGATTATGCTACAAGACGTGGAAGTCGACATGAGCGATAAATCACGTCCCGCAATAATTGGTTTTATGGTAATCATAGCTTACCGGTAAAAACAGCAACGCTGAAGACTTATTACACAACCGGTGTGTAATATCCGGTCACTTCCGGTTGCGTATTTCGAACGGAAAAGGTGTTCCTCGCGTAAACGATTCGAACCGGTCGCAGACTTGCGCTCAGGCGACTCCGAATAAGAAAGTGTTACCTGCGCAACCGCGTCGAACGAACTGACTACCTCAAGCTGATTATACATTGTTTTGTTTCATGCTTACTCTCGCATCGCAGGACCAGGTGAGTACACTGTTGCCAGATCGTGTCTTGTTGTGAATGGTTCGTGGGAAGTTGGTCGCTTTAAGGTTCGAGTTTGTGGATTACGTTTACGTCGGATGGTCACTGATTGTCACCTATAACTGTCGCCGATTCGACGAAAAGTACGCAGTACATAAACTATTTTATTGAATGATTAATATACAGGGTGGCGCATCGAAAACGAAACAGACGCATTTCCCGAAATTTAGCTACAAGTTCTAGAACATATTTTCGATGCACGTTACTGTTATCATGTCGCTCATTAAATATTTCTGCTGTTCTATTAGCGCACTGATTATTTCGATAATTTCTACTTTTTCTGCTGTGGTTAATTTATGTAATAAAGCGTTACAAGTTATTTTAGCAACAAAGTTTCGTCAAATCAATCGCAAACTATGTACTAAATTCCTATTTAAAATAAGTACGAGGTATTTCCTTATCTTTCTTCAAGAAATAACTTTTTTGCCACAAAAAAAAAACGCTCCAATAGCTATTTTCAACAACAAAATGATAAACAAACCATGAGCGTAGTGAAGAAAAGCATTTACTTATTAAGTAAATTCTTTTAGTCAAATTTCTTCTGAAAGTAGTACAAACTAATCTGATGTACCTATTAAAGTCTACTTTAAGCTTTAAATCAATAAATCTTCAAAACTACTGAACTGAAGCTCGTGTATTTCACATCAGTATAAAGGGAATTGAGAGACCTTTAAAATAAGGTATCATTCGACCCCCCTTTCCATTTAAGATTTTAGGGTTGGTGTCACCCCCGCCCAGGGGCCTGAGCGTTTTTCCAAAAAAAACTGAGCTGCCAGTAAATGTGTCTGTTTCGTTTTCGATGCGCCACCCTGTATACCTGAAACATTGCATACATCTTCCTTTCGGTGAGTCCGACAAACGTTTTTTAATTCTTCTTTGCTTTCGCAATTGCTGCATTTTTGAGTGGGAAATTCCGAAACGCGAAATACGACTTAGCGTTTTAATTTATTGTAGAATTATCTTTGATTGTACACAATTGAAATATGTGTACGCTCAAAATGTAGCCATTATTTAAGCATACAGAATGAACTAACGCATATTTTCAATATGCACCTTTATTCAAGCAACTGGTGTAAAATATTGGCAGTCAGCGTTGCTAGGCAACGCGTCGATGAGCTTCGCTTCCTATTTGGCTTCTATCTCTTTCTAACATATGCGTCTATACACACTTCTCTCTCGTACTCATTGAACGCAAGGCGTCGGACAAATTTGCTTGTCAGTGTATATATTTTATATCTCTCAATAAAATATCCTGTATTTGTGAAACACTCGAATGAGAAAAAGAGTATTTGGATCTATGGCAAAACGAAAGGATATCGCACGTAAAGAACGCTTTGTAGTATCAGATGTCAACTTATTTTTGTGCAAAGCAAAGAAAACTTATGGAGCAAAATGTGAGAAAGATGAACACCAAAATAAAGCTGTATACAAAGTTCAAGTACATATTAATCATTCAACAAAACGAGTTATGTGGATTATAAGAGATCTCGACCTTCCACCCTCTCGGGTTGAAACTGAAGTCTATTTCTTCAGTTAAATCTATAATTGAACTTGGCATATACAGGATGTCCCAGAAGTCGACGTCAAGCCGAAACCGGGTGATAGGCAAAGTCATAACAGCTATCAGAAAAATATTTAAAAAAATTTTATGTATCTGTTTTGAAAATTATAGGTCTTTGAAAAAAATTTCACACTCTACGGCAGTCTGTCAACTCCTGTTACTACAAATCCTAACTTTTTTTGGATTTTATTTTTACAATGTAATAATGAATAATGCATCTTCAAACTGGTGTCTCAACCTTACTGCCAACTTTTCTCGTTCAGGAAAAATTGCCACTAATTTCCCAACCAAGTATTCCAAAGTAAAACTTTGCTCAACTTTAACTGGCTGTACTGGAAAAAAATGTACTACGAGAGTTTGGCAAGTAACCTTAAAAGTTGGCGCATTTAATAAGGATTCCAAAATGGTATAACACTTAGACGATTACTCGTTAACTTATGCACAATTTTTATTTGAAGAAAAACTGATGAAAATTTTTCAAAATTTCCTAATTAAACAGCGATTATGAAAACGCACAAAGACCCTTAAGGATAACTGTTTGCACAACAGTGGACGTCAAAATGCTGCTGATGATCATTTACCTTTACAGCAAATGCTCAAACTGTTTTCCTTCAGCCGCAATACACGCTCGACATCTTCTTAAAAAAGATCGGGTTATTAAACGAGCGAATCCACGGTTATTAACAAACTCAGCTGCTTCCAATAGTCTTTGCCGTAGCTCAGCTACATTTTGAATCGGCTTGAAATAGATTGAGATTTTTTCTTCTCTCATCAAATGTGGGTTTGCTACGTGCCACTCGTGTAAGTTATGCAGGTTCATGTACCCATCTGTCTTAAATGTGGTCTCATCCGACCATAAAATTTTTTCAAAGATCTGTGGATCTTTCCTGCGTCTTTCTAACATTGTGCGACAAAAAGCAACTCGGGGCTCATAATCCCGGGGCAGAAGAGCTTGAACACGCTGTACGTGGTATGGATGGAGCACGTTTTTTTGCAAGATTCTATGGGCTGTACTTTTGGGCACACCTGTTTTTAGTTCTATTGCACGCACTGAAGTACTCGGGTCTTCTTCGACAACACCTAGCACCACGTCTTCGTAAGGAAGGAAAGATCTTCCCTCACCGTGTGATTGGTTTGGTAGTTGGCCCTCTGAGAACAGTAAGCGGTGCACATTTCTGAACACTCGATGATCTGAATGAGGAGCTGCATTCGGGTACCTCTCACAGTAAAGTCTCGCTGCAGCACTAGCGTTGCATCTGCATTTCCCATAAATGAGGTGCATGTTAGCATATTCTTGTACGGTGTACACGGACATAGCGGCACTGCACAATCACACTATCAAAGATAGTTTTAGGAAAGCAAATGTTGTTTTGAAGAGCAATTAAACAGTCCAAATCCAAATCACAAGCGATCAACAGTCCAGTTCAGGAATCCAAAATTAGTAACAGTACGAAATCAACAAGCACGAACATGTAAAGATGCGCAGTAAACGAAGGAGTACTGATCGGTATCAAAGTGTGCAATAGCAAGTAAGTGATGTGCTTCATCCATACCACATACAGCGTGTTCAACCTCTCCTGTCCCGGGATTATGAGCCCCGAGTTGCTTTTTGTCGCACAACGTTAGAAAGACACAGGAAAGATCCACAGTTCTTTGCAAAAATTTTATGGTCGGATGAGACCACATTTAAGAAAGATGGGTACATGAACCTGCATAACTTACACGAGTGGCACGTAGCAAACCCACATTTGATGAGAGAAGATAAATCTCAATATCGCTTCAAGATAAACCATTGGACAGGAATTTTAAATGGTAAAATAATCGGTCCGTTTGAGTTCCCAGAGACTTTGACTGCTGAAGTTTATTTGGATTTTTTTAAAAATCATGTACAAAATTTATTGGAGGACGTGCCACTGAGTATTTACAGGGACATGTGGTTTCAGCATGATGGCTGCCCAGCGCACTATGCACTCTCAGTGAGAGAGTATCTCGATCAAAACTTTCCAGGCAGATGAATAAGGCGGTCTGGTACAATACCGTGGCCAGCCCGATCACCTGATTTAAATCCTTTAGATTTTTTTACTGGGGAACTGTAAAAGAAAAAGTGTATTCCAAGCCGATTCAAAATGTAGCTGAGCTACGGCGAAGACTATTGGAAGCAGCTGAGTTTGTTAATAACCGTGGATTCGCTCGTTTAATAACCCGATCTTTTTTAAGAAGATGTCGAGAGTGTATCGCGGCTGAAGGTAAACAGTTTGAGCATTTGCTGTAAAGGTAAATCATCATCAGCAGCATTTTGACGCCCACTGTTGTGCAAACAGTTATCCTTAAGGGTCCTTGTGCGTTTTCATAATCGCTGTTTAATTAGGGAATTTTGAAAAATTTTCATCAGTTTTTCTTCAAATAAAAATTGTGCATAAGTTAACGAGTAATCTTCTAAGTGTTATACCATTTTGGAATCCTTATTAAATGCGCCAACTTTTAAGGTTTGGAATACTTGGTTGGGAAATAAGTGGCAATTTTTCCTGAACGAGAAAAGTTGGCAGTAAGGTTGAAACACCAGTTTGAAGATGCATTATTCATCATTACTATTGTAAAAATAAAATCAAAAAAAAAGTTAATATTTGTAGTAACAGGAGTTGACAGACTGCCGTAGGGTGTGAAATTTCTATATCTTTTTCAAAGACCTATAATTTTCAAAACACATACAAAAAATTTTTTTAAATATTTTTCTGATAGCTGTTATGACTTTGCCTATCACCCGGTTTCGGCTTGACGTCGACTTCTGGGGGTATTTTTTATCGGCTTAGGCGTTGTTAAATCCCGCTCATTGTGATGAGTGAAAGAAGACAGTTATAGGTGCAAGCATTTATTTTGGTGAAAATACATATCGTTAAGTATCTGAGTTACTTCAAATGTCTGTTGGTTAAGGTCCAAATTCATACGCATCTCAAACCTATCATCAGTCAAGAGCAAATTATAAGCAAAGTTTTTATACGATTACTTATTCCATCATAATTTTGCAACAACAATATGCTCTTGATAGCAGAAGTTTGATTGCACCTTTTTGAGTAAGTGAAACTCAGGACCCCTTTTTCTAACTTCCAGGGTCATGCCAGCGAATTTACATTCATACTTTTCTTTTGCCCTATTTATATTTCAGCTATCTTCCAATAATAGATTGCCGCAGTGAAACACCATGTTTCAACCGAAACGGAAACGATTCTAGATGATCTATCAAAATCTCGATTAGTATTATACAAGATGACCGCAAAAATGGGACTTTCCTTTACGCGGCATATAAATCTTCAAAAAATAAGCGTTTCTTCCTAGTTGCATATATG